AATAAATAAAATTGTAGCCTTTCTAATATTTGTGGTAATATCATCAATTATTTATTGATAGCAAAAAAAGAATATTTTTTCAATATAGTTAGGCATTCTATAGTACAACATGGAATTGCCTTCTAAAAGGGGTTTCATGTATAATATTTATTTATAATTTAATATAAAATTACACAAATAATTTTTAAGTAAAATTATGGTAGATGGTAGTGCTTAATACATATTGTATTTTGTATGGTGATTTCAAGCCATTTGTTTTCTTAAAATCAGCAGCTATTTAGCCTAAATTCAAACACTATTTTGTCCTTTGCACCAGCACTTTCTTGTGCATACTTTTTGTGATGTGTTAAGAATCTGCATTGTGGACTTCCAGCCAAGATGGAGACATAGGTAGACACACTGTGCCTCCTCACACAACCAAAATTAAGGAAAACAAAAAATTAGAAACAAAAAGACAACCACAACTGACAGAAAACTGAACTGTACAGAAGTGTGACAACCATTCGTCCAGACCAGAAAAAGGAGTGGAGTGGTTGGCTAGCAGAGAGGGGTTTTGGCAGGAAAAAGTGGTGGCTGGCACACCCCGGGCACGGGTTGGAAACAAGCAGACCCAGTGAGGTGTGCAAGGTGGCTGGCTGACCGCAGTCACACATTCGTGTGCAGATAAACCAAATGAAATCGAGGAATGAGACACATGGCACAACCCAGGGCCCCAGCACCAGGAAATAGAGCCTAAAAGCATTGATTGAAAACACTTGTGGGGGTTGAGGTGCTGAGAGAGAGACTCCCAGCCTCACAGGAGAGCTCATTGGAAAGACCCACAGGGTCCTGGAATGTACACAAGCCCACCCACCCAGAAAGCAGCACCAGAAGGGCCCAATTTGCTTGTGGGAAGTGGCATAAGGGACTGAAATCCAGCAGACAGTGGAGCAAGTGCCACTGTCCCCTCTCTGATTTCACCCCCACATACAGCATCACAATCCAGCACCTGAGTTGCCCCACTCTGATGAACACCTAAAGGCTCTGCCCCTCACTACGTAATAGGCCCAACCAGACTAAATAAATAAATAAATAAATAAATAAATAAATAAATAAAATGGCTCAAACAGAAGAAAAATCTCAAAGCCCCACAGACAATACTTCTAAGTGACCAAGAGATAGCCAACCTATCAGATGCACAGTTCAAAGCACTGGTGATCAGGATGCTCACAGCATTGGTTGATTTGGGTCACAAATTAGATGAAAAAACTGAAATCTACACTAAGTGAAATGAAGAAAAATACACAGGGAACCAATAGTGATGGAAAGGAAACTGGGACTAAAATCAATGGAGTGGACCAGAAGGAAGAAAGAAACAACCAAACAGAAAAGAATGAAGAAATAAGAATTCAAAAAAATGAGGAGAGGCTTAGGAACCTCCAGGACATCTTTAAACATTACAACATCTGAATTATAGGGGTACCAGAAGGAGAAGAGGAAGAGCAACAAGTAGAAGTTATTTGAACAAATAATAAAGGACAACTTCCCCAATATTTGAACAAATAATAAAGGAGAACTTTCCCAATCTGGCAAAGGAAATAGACTTTCAGGAAATGCAGGAAGCTCAGAGAGTCCCAAAGAAGTTGGACCTGAGGAGGAACACACCAAGGTACATCACAAATTACATTAGCCAAGATTCAAATGAAGGAGAGAATCCTAGAATCAGCAAGAGATAAGGGGACAGTCACCTACAAAGGAGTTTCCATCAGACTGTCAGCTGTTTTCTCAAAAGAGAACTTACAGGCAGGAAGAAACTAGAAAAAAGTATTCCAAGTCATGAAAGGCAAAAACCTACATCCAAGATTGCTCTATCCAATAAAGCTATCATTTATAATGGAAGGGTAGATAACGTGCTTCTCAGATAAGTTCAAGTTCAAGGAGTTCATCATCACAAAGCCCTTATGAAATGTTAAAGGGACTTATCTAAGAAAGAGAAAATAAAAAACATGAACAGTAAAAAGATAGCAAACTCAGTTATTAACAACTGCACCTAAAACAAAAGAAAACTAAGCAAACAACTAGAACAGGAATAGAACCACATGGAGGGTTAGCAACAGAGGAGTGGGAGAAGGAGAGAGGGGAAAAAGGTCCAGAGAAGAAATAGCATAGACAGTAGGTAGAAAATAGACAGAGAGAGGGCAAGAATAGTATGGGTAATGTAGAAGCTGAAGAACTTATGACACATGGGACCTCCAGCCAAGATGGAGGCATAGGTGGAAACACTGTACCTCCTCAAATGACCAAGTTTAGAGACGACAAAGTTTTAGTAACAAAAACACAGCCAAAACACAGAAAATTGACCTACAAGGAAGTCCGACAACAACTAACCCTTCAACCAGACCAGTAAGAGGGGCGGAGCAAGCATTGGAGCAGAGTCAGGCAGGAAAGATCCCCTGGACTGACCCAGGAGTGCAGGCAGCCTTTGGTGGATCCCAGGTGTGGGGTGGCAACTGGTGGACCCAGTGAGGGCGCAAGGAGGCAGACTGAACACGGTCACACATTCACAAGCAAATAAACCAGTGAAGGAGCGAGCAGTGAGATAGACCCCGCAGGCCTCAGCGGTGGGAAGCAGCAGAGGAGACCACTATTACCCCTCTCTGACCCCACCCCCACATACAGCATCACAACCCAGCAACTGAGTTGCCCTGACCTGGGGAATACCTAGGGCTCTGTTCCTCATACATAACAGGCGTGGACAGATCAAAACATGGCTCAAGAAGAATTCAAAGCCTCAGAGCTGATAACTCTAAATGACCAAGAAATAGCCAACCTATCAGATGCATAGTTCAAAACACTGGTGATCAGGATGCTCACAGAACTGGTTGATTTTAGTCACAAATCAGAGGAACAAGTGAAGGCTAAACTAACTGAAATGAAGGGAAATGCACAGGAAACCAATAATGATGGAAAGGGAACTGGAACTCAAATCAAGGGAGTGGACCAGAAGGAAGAAAAAAATGACCAAACAGAAAAATATGAAGAAACAAGAATTCAGAAAAATGAGGAGAGGCTTAGGAACCTCCAGGACATCTTTAAACGCTCCAACATCCGAATTATAGGGGTACCAGAAGGGGAAGAGGAACAGCCACCAGCAGAAACCTTATTTGAACAAATAATAAAGGAGAAATTCCCCAATCTGGCAAAGGAAATAGACTTCCAGGAAATCCAGGAAGCTCAGAGAGTCCCAAAGAAGTTAGACCCAAGAAGGAACACACCAAGGCACATCATCATTACATTAGTCAAGATTAAAATGAAGGAGAGAATCCTACAAGCAGCAAGAGATAAGGGGACAGTCATCTACAAAGGACTTCCCATCACACTGTCAGCAGATTTCTCAAGAGACCTTACAGGCAAGAAGGGGCTGGAAAGAAAGCCAAAGACCTACATACAAGATTGCTCTATCCAGTAAAACTTTCCTTTAGAATGGAAGGACAGATAAAGTGCTTCTCAGATAAGATCAAATTCAAGGAGTTCATCATCACCAAGCCCTTATTATATGAAATGTTAAAGGGACTTATCTAAGAAAAAGAAGATAAAAAAAAGATGAACAGTGAAAGGACAGCAAACTCACAGTTATTAACAACCACACCTAAAACAAAAGCAAACTAAGAGGACAGCTAGATCAGGAGCAGAACCATAGAAATGAAGATCACATGGAGGGTTAGCAACAGGGGAGTGGGAGGAGGGGGGGGAGAAGGTACAGAAAATAAATAGCATAGATGGTAGGTAGAAAATAGATAGGGGGGAGGACAAGAACAGTAGGGGAAATATAGAATCTAAAGAACTTGAGACACTTGGACATAAACTAAAGGGGGGAATGGTGGGGTAGGGGGTGTGCAGGGTGGAGGGGAATGAAGGGGGAAATAGAACTGTAATGGCATAATCAATAAAATATATTAAAAAATAAAGAACTTATGACACATGGACATGAACTAAAGGAGGATGATGTGCATGGGAGGGGGTGTGCAAGGTAGAGGGGACTGAAGGGGGGAAATGGGATAACTGTAATAGCATAATCAGTAAAATATATTAAAAATAAATTGGCAGAAGGTTTCAGAAAAAAATCACATTTTGAATCATCTTCACTTTCTTTTTCTGAGAAGTATGAACTGCAATGTTTCTTATTTTCTAAGTACCTTGGTGAAGTCCATGTTTTTACTCTCCTGGCTTACAAATGCTTTCCACTAGAAGACTGCCTCTAACATTTCAAGTACATTTTTCAAAACTGGCACATCTTTGTTCTGATACAAGATCTTGTCCCATTGAAAGAATAGTTTGGTTTTATAGACCTGTTGGTCAGAATCTAGTTTGTCTGGAAAGCTGTAAAGGGAGAAATAAGATCAAACTCATTTTACTTAATTTATTTTAATTTTTATTAAACTCACTGTTGTGACATTGGTTAATAAAATTACATGGGTTTCAAGTTTATAACTCTATAATATATCATCTATTGTATTGTGTGTTTACCACCCAAGGTCAAGTCTCTGTCACCACATATCTACACACTCATTTTACAGAGGGAGAATCTAAGAACTGAGCCCTGGGGAATGGGGTGAGTAGCTTATGTCTCCATAAATCAGAAGATGCATAGGAAAGAAGAGTAAGAGAGAAGATCATGGCAATCCTGAGTCCCCAAAGCCATTTTCAGAATGGGTTTGCACTGATTCTACCTCAGGTTGTTTTCCTGGAAGAACTACAAAAGTCTTGCCTTTGATTCTTTCCCCTTCCTCCCTTCCTCCCTCCCTCCCTCTTTTTCTTTCTCCCTCCCTCCCTCCTTCCATCACTTTTCCTCCCTCCCTCCCTCTCTCATTTCTTTCCTTCCTTCCTTCCTCTCTCCCTCTCTTTCTCTCCCCCACCACTTTTCACTGAGACATGAGGACAGTAGGAATTTGAATGAGTGAGCACACCAAGGAGAGCCAGGGGCAGTTTAGAGAATGAAGAAATTCAAGAGAAAATCTCAATTCTATAAAGATGAGAAGTTCTTTTATTTTGGGAGACACAGCCTGTTCAGTTCAAAGAGGACTTTTCCCTAGTCATCACCAAATCTCTTGATTTCATCCATGTCACTACCTAGTGTGACTACCTTTCACCTCATCACACCTGGTTCATTGCTTCAGTTGACCTTTTTTTTTTTGGCTAACTCAGGAATTCTTCTCCCTCCAAAATGCCCTTACATTGGCAATAGTCTTTGCCATCTGCATCCTGAAATTTAATGTTTTCCATAATTTGATTCTACTGTACTTATTGGCTTTTCTCTATCAATACTTCTAATATGTACCTTCTCTTCAACAGTATTTATTGCTCACAAGCAGCATAGAAAGCACTATGTTGCTTGGCAGTGAATGTAGAGGTAAATAAAATTATCACATTTTATTTTTCACCTCTTGATGATCATGAAGTCATGAATCTTGTCCTTAAGTAATGCAAATTGTAGAGGGAAACAAGTAATCATATATACTGTAGAGCAAAATGGAATGAGATATAGTGACTGAAGGACCAAAGGAAAAGTGAAGGAGTGCAAAAAGAGCCATAGTTAATTTGACTAATGAAACCAGGAAAAACTTTATAGAAGAGGTAGCATTGGAGCTGGGTATTAAAAGATGTGTACATAGATAACAAGTGGGGCACACCCTCTGGCCAAGGCTATGCCACATATAGGGAATGTGAACATGCATGGTGTATCTGGGGAGGTGCCCAAAAATTCACCATGCAGATCCAGGGCTCCATTTTTCTTTTTAGTTGTTTATGCTTTCTTCATGTGGATGGCCTGTCTTCTTCATCCTCTGCTGAGTTCCATCCATCCTGCAAAGATCAGTTTCAGCCCACCTGCACCATATGGTCTTTTCTGTCTGTCCTAGCTTGTTCCACCCTTAGTGGTATGTGGTTCAGGATTTAACTTCAGTGTCTGTGCTGGATTGGTTTCTCAGCAAGCCCAGGGCAGACATTATGCACATCTCATACTTTGGGGGCCTTGCAGACTCCAAAACAGTGCTAAAAGTAGTCAGGGCTAGATGATTTTACTGGCCCATTCACAAGAGCTAAAACCTTCATTCTGCCTAACTGTAGTTTATTTCTGCTGCCTAGCTTGGGATTGTTTGTAGGCATTTACGATTTAGTTGGTTATGTCTGTTAACACATAAAGGAAGAAAATTTTTAACTGCTCTCTTGAATGTTCCCCTCAGTCATGGCAGGGAAGGGGGAGGAACACTTCACCTCATCTTGAACTCCATGACTCTCTGGGCAGAGCCTCAGTAACTGGGGTGAACCCAGTTTTGTAATCTGCAACATTATCTCTCAAGTTCCCTCTGGAGAATGACTTTGCTTCTTTCAAGCTCTCTTGATGGGTGAGTTACATTTAGTTCCCATAAAGTGCCAGAAATATAGTTTGTCAATTCTTTTCAAGGAATGAAATATTGAGTATGGCTTCTTTTTGTTGCTGTGGCTGCTTGGATTGTGTATTAGGTTGGTTCTGCAGAGAAACAGAACTAATGGGAAATAGATATAGTAGGGAATTGCCTCATGTAGTTATGGAGATTGAAAAGTCCCAAGATCTGTAGTCAGCAAGCTGGAGAGGTGATGGTATGCAGTTCCAGTCAGCGTCCAATGGCTTGAGAACCAAGGGAGTTGATGGTGTAAGTTCCAGTCTAAGTCTGAAGGCAGGAGAAGACTGATGTCCTGGCTCAAAGACAGTCCCTCAGAGGAAGGGAGGGAGAGAGAGATAGAGATAGAGATGAGCGATAGATAGATAGAGAGAAGATGAATTCTCCCTTACTTCATCTTTTTGTTCTGTTCAAGCTTTTGGTGGTTTTTTCAGTGATGCCCACTCAGGAGGAAGAGGTTTAATCTATTTAATCTATTTACAAATTCAAATGTTAACCTCATCCAGAAACACCCTTACAGACACACTTTAATAATGTTTAACCAAATATCTGTGCACTCCATGATGCCATCAAATTGACACATAAAATTAACCATCACAGAGTCATAAAGGAAAGTTTAGCCAGAAAGAAAATCTTATGAGGCTTCTGAAGTAGAGCCTGAAGGAAAATTCTCTAGCAGTCTAGTCCCTAGAAAAAGAGCATTTTCCAACACACCATTTTGGGGAGTATGTCTGAATTGCTGAGAGTCACAACTCTGATGGCTTCCCATGCAATATGTCACACATGATTGCACTGGTCCAGCCAGTTGTATGATGAACAAAGATTCCTGGGCAAAGGGTCTAGTGGAGGCTGAATCACAGCCAACATTCTATTCACCAAGCCATGCACTTGGTTGAGGGGCTGTGTCTGCCTCAGGGAAGGAGGCCTTTTTCTAATTTGCCCAAGGTGCTGTCTGAACTGGTAGAAGCCATGTTCCAGAGTAGAGTGTAAGCAGGGCATTCTTCGTGGTGTGCCATGGCACGTTGCAAGTATGCAAAATACTCTATGTATGGAGTTGCTGGAAAAGTTTATCAACTATAGTTACCATAAGCCTGTAGTCATAGGCAGCCTCTGGACATGAACATTCTTGATTGTTTACTCCATTATGCCATAAAAATATTTTCTATATTTGCTGTGATAGAAAGAAGATTGGGAATCACTATACCAGGATACTTGTCTTATCATTTATTCAGAAGGCAGCCATTTTAGAAAGGGCACATGTCCATCTGTCTATCTAGGCACAAGCTATTCCCAGCAGCAGGTTTTCTGATTTGCTTACATGTTGGGATGTGGTGACTTGCAATCGTCATGTAAAATCTGGGTAGAGAAAGTCTGAATCCAGCACGTCTGTCATTATCTATGGTTGTAGTTTAGTTTCCACGGAGATAATGTTATCTAGTGACCTAGAACACAAATTCATAGCTTGAAGTCCTAGGAGGTTTGCTGTCCTGAGTGCTGGTTTTTCCCATCTGTGCTCGAAAGGGAGCTGGAGGACATGTTAACTGAAAGCTGCCGCTGGGGATTTCCAGGTTTCCAGTGCTGGGGAAATCTGGGATAGTAGGTCCTTGTCCTTTCCTGTCTTTCACCTCTGCTTCAGTTGTCCCATTGGGAAGCCCTTGAGCCATCAACTTCTTCTCCCAGAAAAAAGCAGGAGGAAATGGGGGTACTGCATTGATTTCAGTTATTGGCTTGAGGTAACATCCAGGTTCAAGCCGCATACCTTCCTCGTTCTTAGTTGAACCTTAGTTCCTTCTGTGCCCCAATAAATGTACCTTTATATACTGTGGCAAGTTACCTCTCCTAGTATCTCATATGCTCTAGTTTAGAACACTGTGGACAACTTTCCCACTGGCTTGAGAAGTCTTTGGTTTTAAATTGCATACTGACCAATGAATAATTGTCATTCAAATTTTCTAGAGGATTTACTTGAGATGTCTCAATTCAGGACTCTTTCTCTGTTTCCTCCCACTCTCTTTCAGATCTGGCTTAAACATTTGAGCACCTTACCCTTCAATTCTTTACTCTCCACCTTCCTTCCTCTTCATTCCTCTATCTTCCCCTTCTTTTCATTTTCCCTCTTTCTCTTTTGTGATTGCTGAGGGGAAAAAAGTTCCTTCTGTCTCTTTCTCAAGGACACTTGGCTTATCCTATGCATTAAGTTCCTTTACAACCTTCCTACTCGTCTAGCTCATGATGCCTTATGGAATCAGCTCTTAATTCTTATTTATGGATTTATTTATATTCCAAGTTCCCAATATATTCTTCCACTATTCATTTAGTGTCATTATTTTCCAATTTCTCTAGACTCCTAAGTTTGGATTTATCTTTTGTGATTAGCTTCCTGCATATTAGCTCAGCTATTAAACAGGAATATTTACAAAACACTTCATATACCAAAAGACCCAAAAACTTTCTTTCTGATTGTAATGAAAATGAGGACCTTCAGGCAGTGACAACTCCTCAATAGATCCCCCAAAATGAAAGTCCTGTTAAAAGGCAAGGTTTACTGTTCCTCAGGGATTCTAGTAGTAGACCACGACAAATGATTGTGCAGGTTGCATCCTGTGAAGGTCAGCTGAGGGAACAGATGGGAACTGAAATTTAGCTTGTGTTCTACTTATCATTCTGTGTACCTGTGTGGTCCAATAGAGAGGCACCTTTTTTCTTATTTTCACACTGTAAGCTAACAGTGACCCTGGGTATTGTAGAAGCTGGAGTTTCTACACTATGTTCAGGGGCTTCAGGGATTCTGCACTTAAAGTGTGTGATCAGCATGCCAAGCAGGCCAGCCTGTGGATAGCCATTGACTTTGGGATTAGTGCTCTGTGCATGTGTGGGAGTACCTTAGATGAAAGCTCTCAGCCATTAGTCCTGAGAAGTCTAGAGACAAGTTCTAAGGAAACCAGCTGGCCCCTAGTTGGATGAATAGTGTATAGCAGGTTGGTTGGAATAGACAGGACAACAGTGATAAAAAGTCAGAAATTATTTACCTTATCAGAGTACTGCACTATGGAATAGATTGTGTTTACTGGCATCTCCTTCATGGGGAGCACCTGTAAAACACCCACCATCCCCTTAGTAAGAAAACCCAAGCACAATGTTATGAGTGCCCCTTCCTACTTCTATCCTGCCCATCAGCCTTCTCTGGTCACATTTTCACTAGGTTGCTTTCTTTCAAGTTCTCAGCTCTGCTTCCATCCAGCTTTGGAGAGGATCATGGTCAGGTAGACGTGCAGCAGGAGGGTAGAATTTGGAAAAAACCTCAAGAGGAGGGGTTTGCGTGATTGAGAATGAGTTTTACTCAGTCAGGGTTTTAGCTTTATGGATCCAGCTGCCCTATCAGTTCAAGAGCAGTGCTAGATTCACCAGACAGACCTCAGTTTCCACACTGACTCTTTGTAGACTTCAAAGGAGCAGGGTGGTGGAGGCACAGAAGAAGGTGATACCATGTAGAATCCTGATTCAGAGTGGAGGTAAGGAAGGGGCAGGCAGGTAAAAAGCAGGTGGGAGGGAGTGTGGGGCAGGGTGACTCTGAGCCTGAGGAAAGTAAGCTTATGCCACAGCCATACCAGGTAGTCTAGTTCAAGGTCACCTCTCTCAATTCTATGCCCTTGGAGCTCCATTACCAATCTGCTCACATGTCATTGGCTACATAACAGCCCTCACTTCACACCAGAGGCTCTCTTGTGGTTTGTCTCCTTTCGAGGACACCATTCCTAATCATGACTCTCATCTAACCTTGCACCATACTTTTTTATGGGAACTTAGGGCTTTAACCCTGGAGGGTGCCATGGGGTGACAACTGACCACATTCCTGTCAACATAGAGAGAATTATGGCATCATTTCCCTAATATGGTAATTACTGGTTGGACTTCCAGATTCTTGGTTATGGCTTCTGTCTGGGCAGAAGTCAGCAGAGGCCTGCTGCCTATGATTCCCTGTCCTGGGGGTACTGGTGAGGATCCCTGAGTTGTGTCAGCTCACCTTGAATGGGGGGATTTCATCATATATTCTGGATTCTGCTGACTGGGTATCTCTTGAAACCATGACATATGTGTATATTGTGTTCTTTGAGACAGGATCTGTACCACAAATAAAGATAGAAACAAAGTATGCAAAAAGTGGATGACTTCTTAGAGATGGTCTATTCTAATGTTTTCTTTTTAAGATGGAGAAATGAAACACTAAGAGGTTAAATAGCTCCCATCCCCTTGAGATGAATATTTGGCTGTTTGGACTGTATCTCCCTCTTCTAGGGATTGCATGTGGTATGGGAGGCACCCAGCTGAAACCTCACCCAAAGCTCAGCAGGAATTCTTTCATATTCTGGGGTTCACATTAGGCTTAAGATATTCTTGTCATTATCTGTGTGGGCAATCAAAGTAGCTCTTCTATCCAGGGTCTTCTTAGTGTTTCTGGCACTGGGCATTGACTGCCTTGCATGGCTAGTTGTTTTTTAATGAGAGGGTCTTGTTTTTTCAACTGGATTAAATATCTCTAGTTATACACTGTGTTGAATTCTTCTGGTGCATACATTACTCTTACCACCTCAATGTTAAGCATATAGCAGGTGCTCTGTGAATATTTGTGGCTTGTTTGGTTGACTCACACAGTCAAACATTTATTAAGCTCCCTTTATGTGCCAGGTTTTGTGTAAGTCTACAGAGAAGTAGAGACAAGAGAAATATGTTCCTACTTTTCATAATTTATGGACTGGTAGAGGCATTCCTCACAGTGTACTGCGTTTCTTTGCTCCTAACATGGAATATTTTAGGCTCAAGTTGAAAAGGCACAGTTAGAATTTAGAGTCTTCATGTTCCAAGGCACTACATGTCCACTCACAATAGGTTTAAGCTGAAAAATATCAGATGGATCCAACATTTCAGAGCTTAGTCCTGTCCAGCCCCTTCCTCAGACTTGGTGAGTGAGCTAGATCGAGTGCTCTCTCTTGTATCACTTATAGATGGAAAAATTAGCCCTTCTTCCTCCCAAGAGGTCATAAGGAATTGAAGACAGATGTCTCTTTGAGGAAACCTAAAGGTCACCTGTGACCTGAGCAGGCTATGTGACTTATCATCATGAGGTCAACCCTGGGGCTATCAATTGTAAGTATGGTAACTTATATTTACTGAGTATTTACTATGTACCAGGCACCAGGACAAGTATTTTGTATGTGTAATTCCATTTAACCAATTTAATTAATATACACAGCAACTCTTTATTATGCATATTTTATAATTGAGAAAACTAAGTGTTACAATGATAAAATAACTGATAACTGGCAAGTGGTCAAGCTGAGACCTTTACCTCAGACTGTCTGCAAAGCATTAACTCAGTCTTAACCCCTCTGCTGTGAATTCATCTTTCCCAATAGTTATCCAAGGAAACTTGTGACTGAGAACTTACCAGCTTTCTTATTGAAGATCTTCAAGTAGGGACCTGAGGAGTTAGAACAAAGGAGAATCAAGAACATGGAAGCAGAGGGAGAGCCTCTTTACATCCAGACTTGTTATTATAATTTGTGGAAAGGGAGTATTTTGGGTAGACATGGGGTTAGAAGGAATAGGAGTGTTGTAATGATTTCTTAGGATGCTAAGATCAGTTATTCTGAATTGAGAATGGCACAAATACAGAAGGACCCAAGGGATCTAGAAAAATCTAATGACAACCATTAGAAAATTAGTATATGTCCCTTAATGTCCATTAAGGTAATAATCAAAATATTATGGAATAGAAAGTGACCCTGGAGATCCTCTAATCCAAGCCTTATTTCACTAAGGTTTCACAGTGAGAACACTGAGCCAGAGAGGTAAAGACCCATGTTTAATTAAGCACAGGTTGCTAATGGCAATGCTAAATTTGAACCCAAGTTCTGGTGTTTCTGTGAGCAAATTCTAAAGATCACTCAGAGTGATATCATATAGTCAGGGCTATCAGTTTGGGAGATAGTGAGGTGGGGGGGTAAGGTAGGGATTGTAGAAATGTTAATTGGATGGAGCAAAGGACCTCTCCACACCACCTTGGATAAGAACAAAGGTGCATTTCCACATTGGGGAAATCTTACCTTGTCTCCTCTTGCACAAAAGGAACAAAAGCACTGAAGGTAGAATGAGTATAAACAGAGAAAGGACAGCCAACCCACTCAGCAACCCAGCATGATGAGTATGGAGGCCCACTGTGATATCTGGAAATGGAAGATGCAGTAAGACAACTCAGTAAGGAAATAGGCTGAAGATGCTTATTAAGCAGGCTTGTCCACATTCAAAGGGTACTATCAAAATTGAGTGCCCACCATGGGAGTAGCAAACCTTTGAGGGAAACTGTGCCTTCTGCTAAATTGGGGTTGGAGCCTGAATCAGGGAACATCTTTCAGAAGGCTTGGCTTCTTTCTAAGGCTTTCTGGGGGGATATGCCCCTGGAGACCAGGCCCAGCATAAGGAAGGCATATTACTCCAGAGAATGAGGCCCATCTTCAGAGTGATTTCTGAGACCCCCAAGAGAGATGAACAAAGTTGGTTACCTGCACAGAGCTGCTGGGCAGAGATAGAGTCAGAATTGTTGCTGACAGGGTTCCATGCTGTACATGTGTAAATCAGCTCTTGGTTGTTAGGAGTCTGGAAGATTTGAAGGACACTGCCCTCTTCTCCCAGGGGACCCCAACTGTATATCACATTTTTTTCTTCCTTCTCCACAGAGCATGTCAGTGTGACATTACAGGTACTGTTTATAGATGTCATTAAACTCTGAGTAATTTTTGGCTTCCCAAGCCTACCTATGTGGAGAAAACACATTAGCCAGTGGTAAACTGGAGCTGGGTTATACCAGTTTATAAGAGCCAACTGATATACTTTTTAAAAAATCTTGAAGCTTTATTAAACACACTGCCAAAGGAAAGAACAATACATAAACACTTTTATAATAAACTAAATTATATTTAAAACAAGCCTAATAAATACTCAGAACCCATCGTTTTCTATTTTTTGACAATTTACCATTATCTACACTCTAGAAGTTATTTATATCAATGTATGTGTCTTTTGTAATGATGTACAAAGTCTTTCCAACTCTGCATGTCTTAAAATCATCTATGGATGTATCTTGATGGTATAATGCTAATAAGTCAAATAAAAAGTACAATGCTAATAAGTGAGATGGGAAAGGACAAAAACCATATGACTTTACTCATATGTGGAATACAAAATGAAAAGTAAGAAACAAGGTATCAAAACAAAACAAAAATATATTCAAGAAACAAGAATCTGAATGGAGGTTACCAAAGGGGAAGGGCAGTATGGGAAAGTAAAGAAGGGTCAAATATATTATAGATATATTGTGAGCACACAATACTGTATACAGATGTTGTATTGTAAAGATGTACATCTGGAATTTATATAATGTTAACCAATATCACCTCAATAAATTTAATTTGAAAAACCAGCAATGGTAGGAGTATTTATACTGTAGGAATTTGTAAATGCTATAAGCTGGGGCTTGATATACTGCCTTGCTGATTGTTGCTCTAGATTTAAGAAAGCAATGGAAGAGAGGTTATCAAAGCAGATTAAACTTAAAATTGTGTACTGTCTGTAGACATCACACTGTGAATGACAATAAAACAAAACAAAAATAAATAAGTAAAAACAGACTAAAAAATAATCTTTCAGTATTTGAAAGCCACTATTCAATTCAGCAAAGAAGTTGCTATGTCATTGACAAACAAGCAAAGTTCCAATATATATGTCTTTATTGAACCACTATTTTTTATTAGTTAACTTAAATAAAAATATCAACCAATATTTACATTGGCTCATTCATTGACTGCAACCATAGGTTAAATAGGAATATAAATAAATGTTTAGCAAAAATCAGTGAAAGCATTCTGTGAGAACAAATGGCTACATGGAATTTACAATAAAGACTACTGTATATTCTATTATCATTTATAAAATTGTGTGCCACATATTCCTTATGTGAATCAAATTTATTATATATATTATGTATACAAATATACACATACCACTGAGAACTAGTTGAGACTTCTGGCCAAGATGGAGGTGTAGGTAGATACACTGTGCCTCCTTCCTCAACCAAAAGTAGAATAACAACAAATTTAAAAATAAAAAACAACCAGAACTGCTAGAAAATTGAACTGTATGGAAATCTATCAACTAAGGTGTTTAAAAAAAAATTGTCGCAACTAGTAGGAGGGGCACAGACGGGTAGCTGGGGCGGAGATAATTCACAGAGAGGCAATAGCTGGAGGACCGAGACAGGCAAGGTGGCAGTTGACAGACCAAGTGAGGGGGTGGCTGGTGGAGCAAGTGGTCCCACATTTGTGTGTGGATAAACTGGGAGGAACAACTGGGGGTGAGACAGACCGTGTGGGGAAACAAAGCCTCAACCTCTGATTGAAAAATATGGTGGGGTTGCAGTGGCAGGAGAGACTCCAAGTCTCCCAGGGGAGTTTGTTGGAGAGATCCACAGGGTCACAGAACATACACAATGCACACCCGAGGAATCAACACTAGAGGGGCCCAATTTTATGGATAGTGGAGGAGGTGACTGAAAGCTGGCAGACAGCTAAGCAAGCACCATTGTTCTCTTCTAGACCCCCTCCTCCACATATGGTGCCATGAGGCAGAAACATGGATTGTCTCGCCCTGGCAAATACCTAAGGCTCCACCCCTTACTATGGAACAGGTGTGCTGAGACAAAAAAAAAAAAAAAAAATGGACCAAATGACCCAAGTGAAAGAACAGATCAAAGCACCAGAAAAAATACCACAAAGTGACAAAGAGATAGCCAACCTATCAGATGTACAGTTCAAAGCACTAGTTGTCAGGGTACTCATAGAAATGGTTGAGTATGGTTGCAAAACAGAGGAAAAAGTGAAGGCTATGAAAAGTGAAATAAAGAAAAATGTACAGGGAACCAACAGTGATGAGAAGGAAACTGGCACTCAAATCAATGGTTTGGAGCAGAAGGAAGAAATATATAGTCAATCAGAATGAAGACACAAGAATTTAAAAACAACAAGGAGAGGCTAGGAACCTATGGGACAACATTAAATATTCTAACATCTGAATTATAAGGGTGCCAGAAGGAGAAAAGGAAGAGCAAGACATTGAAAACTTATTTGAAAAAAATAATGGAGAATTTCCCCAATTTGGCAAAAGAAATAGACTTCCAGGAAGTCCAGAAAGCTCAGAGAGTCCCAAAGACATTGGACCCAAGGATGCACACACCAAGGCACATCATAATTATATTACCCAAGATTAAAGGTAAGGAGAGAATCTTAAAAACAGCAAGAGAAAAGGAAACAATTACCTACAAAGGAGTTTCCACAAGACTATCAGCTGATTTCTCAAAAGAAACCTTGCAGGCAAGAAGGTGCTGGAAAGAAGTATTCAGATCAGGTGTGACAAGAAAAAGAAATATGCCCCAAATAAAAGAACAGAGCAAAACCTCAGAAAGAGAACTAAGTGAGAAGGAGATCACCAACCTATGTGATGGAGAATTTAAAGCCCTGGTAATCAAAATGCTCACAGATCTGATTGAGCTTGGTTGAGAGTGAAAAAAACAAATGAAAGATACCCAAAGTGAAATAAAGCAAAATATTCAGGGAACCAACAGTGACAAGAAGGAAACCATGATTCAAAGCATTGATTTGGAACAAAAGGAAGAAATAAACATCCAACTGGATCAGAACAAAGAAACAAGAATCCAGAAAAATAAACAGAGGCTGAGGGTTCTCTGGGACAACATGAAACATTCCAATATCCAAATTATAAAGGTTCCAGAAGTAGAAGAACAATAGCAAGAAATTGAAAACTTATTTGAACAATAATGAAGAAAAACTTCCCCAATCTGGCAAAGGAAATTGACTTCCAATAAGTCCAGGGAGCCCAGAGAGTCCCAAAGAAGTTGGACCCAAAGAGGAACACACCAAGGCACATCATCTTTAAGTTACCCAAGATTGAAGACAAAGAGAGAATCCTAAAATCAGCAAGAGAAAAGGAGACATACCTACAAAGGAGTTCCCATAAGGGTATCAGCTGATTTCTCAAAAGAAACCTTACAGAAAAGAAGGGGCTGGAAAGAAGTATCCCAAGTCGTGAAAGGCAAGGACCTACATCCAAGATTAGTCTATCCAGCAAAGCTATCATTTAGAATGGAAGGGCAGATAAAGTGCTCCCCAGATAAGATCAAATTAAAGGAGTTCATCACTAAGCCCTTATTATATAAAACATTAAAGGGACTTATGTAAGAAAAAGAAGATAAAAATATAAACAAACTTCCGCCAAGATGGAGGCATAGGTGGATGTGCCGTGCCGTCTCACACAACCAAGTTCAGAGACAACTAAATATTAGCAATAGAAAACACAGCCAGAACACGAAAAATTGAACTTTTCGGAAGTCCGTTAACAACAAATTCTTCAGCCTGACCGGTAAGGGCGAAACCAGTGGCTGGTGAGGGGTTGCACAGGAGGACTGGTCAGAGGGACTCAGGCGCGGAATCTAGATGCGCAGAATCCAGGCGCAGGGTTGGATCTAGTGAGCGACCGAGCGAGCAACCAGGCGAGCGACCATGTAAGAGACAGCGGGGAAGCGGTGCTTCCTGTTGACTGTGGTTGCCCATTTGTGCGCGAGCAGACAGGCGAGGGAGTGGGCAGTTGGACTGGGGCCCCGGTGGTCCCCATGGCAAGCGGCAGTAGAGGGCGCCGCCATTTCCCCGCTCTGACCATGCCCCCACATACAGTGTCACAACCCAGTGACCTGGGAGTCCAAGGCACCGCTTCTCACACTTAAAGGGCCAGAACAGACCAAAAATGTCGCAAGAATATCTCAAAGCCTCAGAGCCCATAGATCTAAGCGATGAAGAAATAGCAAAACTCTCAGACGCACAGTTTAAAACACTGGTCATCGGGATCCTCACAGAACTGGTTGATTATACCGACAAATTAGACAAATATATGAAGGCAAAACTAATTGAAATGAATGGAATTGCACAGGAAACCAATAGCAATGAAAAGGAAACTGGGACTCAAATCAATGGAGTGGACCAGAAGAAAGCAAATAATGGCCAAACAGAAAAGAGTCAAGAAGCAAGAATTCAAAGAAATGAGGAGAGTCTTGGAACCTCCAGGACATCTTTAAACGCTCCAACATCCGAATTATAGGGGTACCAGAAGGGGGAAAGGCACAGCCACCAGTGGAAACCTTATTTGAACAAATAATAAAGGAGAATTTCCCCAATCTGGCAAAGGAAATAGACTTCCAGGAAATCCAGGAAGCTCAGAGAGTCCCAAAGAAGTTGGACCCAAGAAGGAACACACCAAGGCACATCATCATTACATTAGCCAAGATTAAAATGAAGGAGAGAATCCTAGAAGCAGCAAGAGCTAAGGGGACAGTCACCTACAAAGGAGTCCCCATCAGACTGTCAGCGGATTTCTCAAAAGAGACCTTACAGGCAAGAAGGGGCTGGAAAGAGGTATTCCAAATCATGAAATCCAAAGACCTACAACCAAGATTGCTCTATCCAGCAAAACTTTCATTTAGAATGGAAGGACAGATAAGGTGCTTCTCAGATAAGATCAAATTCAAGGAGTTCATCATCACCAAGCCCTTATTATATGAAATGTTAAAGGGACTTATCTAAGAAAAAGAAGTTAAAGAAACACGAACAGTGAAAGGACAACAAACTCACAGTTATTAACAACCACACCTAAAATGAAAGCAAACTAAAAGGACAGCTAGATCAGGAGTGGA